AACCCTAAACCCTAAATCCTGCTGATGGGAACCATGACTCACGTGAATAGTTACCCAGGCCAGAAGCTCTGAACTCTGGCAAGTTCAGTTGCCGAAAATTCTGTAGGGTTTAGGGTTTTGGGTGTATAGTCCCCCTTAAGCAGATAGAATATGGGGTATATGGGGATCTTACTATAATATACCCAAAACCATATTCTATCTACTTAAGGGGGACTATAGGGTTTAGGGATTATGGTGTAGGAGTTAGGGTTTAGGGTTTAGGGGTTAGAGAGGTTCGGAGCCGCACCCTAGACCCTAAACCCTTAGGAGGCTTGTGGCTGCAACTAGGGTTTGAGAATTGCAGGCTTCAGGGCTCAGGGGCTTCATATTATGGTTCTGCTGACTATGGGGAGGGCAGTCCCTAATCCCTGAATGCTGAATAGCAATCGCAAGGTGCTCATATCAAAGCAGCTGAGACACAAGGCAATCAAGTAGAGGACACCTTGCTTGTGAGTGTCCTATCCTACATGCTGCAAACAGCTTTAACAGGAAGAGACGAAACAATGCAGTTAAGATCTTGCACTCTCACACTGGTTCCCCTCCAAATTCCCTGTAAGACTGCAGCGAGCTACGGAAAGACCGCGACTAGTATTACGACACCTTTGACACATCCTGCGCAGATGTGTGCAAAACTGCACACTTACAGCCTAACAGCTGAGTTTGCTGGTGCTTAAGGGGGAGTGGGGCTGCATGGGCGTATGATTTTCAGGAAACGGGGGAATCCACAGCCCCCTCAAGCACCACAGAGTAAGGCCGACACCCCAAAACGGCCCTAAGCCCCAAACCTTAAATCCTAAACCCTAAACCCTAAACCCTGAATCCTCAACCCTAAATCCTGAATCCTAAGCCTTAAGCCCTAAACCCCAAACCCTGAATCCTAAACCCTAAATCCTAAATCCTAAGCCCTAAGCCCTAAGCTCTAAACCCAAGCAGGCAGTGGAAATCTGGAGTCTGCCTCCGCTTGGCCGAATGGCGCCCTCCCTCCGGTCCGTCCCTTAGGGTTCAGGGTTTTGGGTTTGGGGTTTAGGGTTTAGCGTCTAAGGGACTAGGGTTCACTCGAGGTTCATGGGATGCCAGTGCTTTTGTTGGGCTTTTTACTTCCTTCAGCTGGGCTTGCACCCCGTGATAGTGGTATCATAGGAATATAAGAGGACCGTAATAACACTGCCATTATCCCTTAAAGTCACTATTACTGGGTAGGGGGTCCACCTAAGGGCACATGATTGTTCAGGGAGGGTAGGGTCCAAGATTTGAGGTTCAGTCTTTAGGTCTTTCGGGTTAAGCGCGCGAGGTTTAAGGTGTGCGTTAAGGGTAGAGCGTGGAACATGAGTCGCTCTAGCCCTCCTCAGATATAGACAACCCTAAACCATAGACAGGGTTCCCGGCTTTTTCCTTCCAATCTGTTCCAATTGAAAAAACGTAAGCAGCCCCAAATGAGCATGTAATCGGGTTGCGTTGTCTGCTTTTAGGTTCATTTAGGTCTTATTTGGTTCTGGCGGGTATTGAGCCTGGGGTACTGAGGGCCTGGGGGACTTAATAAGTGGGGTAAAAATCGAGATTACCGGGGATGGCCTACGGGGTTCTTCAAGTTTCCGGTATACTGAACAAGTCCCCTGACTTCAGAGCTACCTTTTTGGGGGTGTGTCAGCAGGGTAGGTGAAGGAACGTTTTGGTAGTCTAGGGATGTGCTGAGCATGGTCTTTAGCTCTGGGTTTCTATGGTCACCTTAAACCCTAAATCCTAAGCCCGAAAACTCGAAAACCTATCTTTGGGATGGTTAAATACTCACCCTAAACCCCAAACCCGACAACCTATCTTTGGGATGTTTCCAGCACAGATTTAAACCCTAAACCCTAAACCCCTAACCCCTAAACCCTAGTCCCCTAAACCCTAAACTTAAAGACCCTAAACCCTGAACCCTTGAACACCAAGGTTGCTGAGCGACTGCGAGTTGGGTGATGATTCGGCAGTGGGTTTGGAGGCCAGATCTGTTTCAGGGTTTAGGGCTCAGGTTTTAGGGCTTATAGGGGGTTATATAGGGGTGAAATAGGGGTTCTATAGGGATAATGGAAAAGAAGATGGAAGCTACTATTTAGGGCCTAGGGTTTAGGGTTGAGGGTGTAGGGTTGAGGGTTTAGGGTTGGGGTTTTAAGGTTTTGGGGCTTAGGGTTTAGGTGTTTCTTCGGGTTTGCTTACTGCAGTAGTGGTGGCAGGGTTTCATCCTGTGATATGCATGCCATGCATACTTTAAGCCGTTCAGCCCGCCCACACCCCTGGACCTCTATGAAAGCTCCAAACTCCAACCCCTAAACGCCCTAAACCCGGAAATTGTCAATCCTAAGCCCGCCCTGAATTTTCCTAACTGCTAAACCCTTCACGCCGGACTTTAAATCCTAAAGCTTCAGCCTCAGATCCTAAACTTTAAACCTTAATCCTAAACCCAAACCCTAGATCCTACAGCCTATTCCTTAAACCCTAAACCCTAAACCCTAAATCAAAACCCTAAATCAAAACCCTTAAGCCCTAAAAGTCTAAGCCTTTCTCCCAAACATCTTGCCCTCCACGCAGATCGCGGCGGACCTTCGTGAGGGCGAGGCTGCCGTGGCCCAGGCCAGGAAACTTCGCAGGGTCAGGTCTTTAAGAGGGTTGAGGGTTTGCGGGTTTAGGGTTAAGTGTTTAGGGCTTTTTAGGGTTCAGGGTTTTACGGCTTTAGGGTGTGCGCGTGAGGTCGCGCGCTCAGGCGTGAAACGCCTCTGTCCACGCGCTCGCGGTGCTTGTAAGCCCACCCCGTCCACCCACACTACATTCAATTAGAGTTTACTGCTTCCTGCGTGCCTGCACGATGCAGGAGTGATGGCTCAATTCGCAAGAAGCCCGCCTGGAAGTCGTTCACCTGCTTTGGAGGCCACAGCTGGCAAAGACAGCACCCACCAGAAATGATGCAGCTCCCCTGTACATTGCTGCGCGAAAAGGCCACTTGGAAGTTGTTCGCCTGTTGCCGAGGCAGGTCAGCCATGGTAGCCCTGAAAGACTGCACAAGCCCGAAAATAGCCTGATTTGCAGGGCCATGTGGGATGATGATGACTTTCCTTGTTGTTCTTACATAACCCCGGAATATCGCAGCCGATTTCATCGCGACTCCCAAAGCCGGGACCTCAAACCTGAACCTACAGACCCTAAAACCCTAAACCCTAAACCCTAAACCCTAAACTCCAAACCCTAAACTCCAAACCTTAAATCCTAAACTTCAAATCCTGCACTTCCTAAGCCCCTGAACACCAAACCCTAAACCCTAAACCCTGAACCCTAAACCCTAAACCCTGAACCCTGAACCCTAAACCCAAAGCCCTGAACCCTAAACCCTAAACCCTGAACCCTAAACCGCAAAACCCTAACCTCTAAACCTTAAACCCTGGTATCCTCTTCACAGCCAGGCGCGCGAGCGCTGTCTCAGCCGACTTGCCGCGGAGGTGGTTTTGCGGACTTTCTGGTGTTGGGATTATAGGGTTATGTGAGCCATAATCTAAACTCCTTAAAGGGGGCTTATTTAGGGGATTACATAAAGGATTCCTATAGGGGCTATGAAGGGGTATATAGGGGTTATATAGGGATAATGGAAAAGAAAATGGAAGCTACTTTTTAGGGTTGAGGGCTTAGGTTTTAGGGTTTATAGGGTTATGTAGTGGTGAAATAGGGGTTACATATATGGGGTCCCATATCTATAGGGATTTAGGGCTTAGTTTTTAGGGTTTATAGGGTCATATAGGGGTGAAACAGGGATTACATATATATATATATATAGGGATAGTGTGTTGGGTTTGCGGTTTTGTGCGTAGGGCTTATAGGGTCATATAGGGTGAAATATGGGGTTATATAGGGATAATGTAAAAGAAAATGGAAGCTACTATTTAGGGCTGGGGGTTTAGGGCTTAGGGTGTTGGGCTTGGTGTTTAGGGTGTTGGGGTGTGGTGTTTAGAGCCCTAAACCCTAAACCCCAAACCCTAAACCCTAAACCCTAAACCCCAAAACTCACAACCCCAAAACCCTAAACCCCAAACCCTAAACCCTCAACCCTTGGGCTTTTGGATTCAAGCTTTTGGAGTGCTGGGTTTGGGTTTAGGGCTTCAAGTAGAGCAGTATTTTATTTGGGGATATTATGGTACCCAATATAGATTAAGATTCTATCCTCCTTTTGGGGTGTAGTATTTTATATAAGGAATATTATCTTACTAGGTTTAACCACCAAAAAAAGCACTACCCAGTTCAGGACTAGAGATGCCAGGGAGTCAGAGATTCTATCGGCGCGTTGCAATGAGAAAGGGACAAGGTTTAGGGTTTAGGGTTTAAGGTTTAGGATTTAGGGATTAGGGACTAGGGTTTAGGGATTAGGGTTTAGGGATTAGGGTTTAGGGATTAGGGTTTAGGGTTTAGGTTTTAATGTTTAGGGTTTAATGTTTAATGTTTAGGGTTTAATGTTTAGAGTTTAATGTTTAAGATTTAGGGTTTAGGGTTTAATGTTTAGGGCTTAATGTCTAGGGTTTAATGGTTTGGGTTTAGGGTTTAGGGTTTAATGTTTAGGTTTTAATGTTTAGGGTTTAGGGTTTAGGGAAGACAGAGCAGAGAAGCTCATCATTGAGTCATGTGTGTTTCATTACTCCAGGGCAGGAAGCTTTAATGTAGATGAATTCCTACAGTCTGACACTAGGTCCTAGATTCCTGGTATAACTTCAGTGGACCCCCCACCCTGGAATTGTGGTATAATAGGGATAGAGGACCCCAATAAAATCACCCTCATCCATTGTAGTCACCATTACAGCATGGGGGGTCCACCTAACCTGAGAAATAGTCGTCAGGTCAAGCTTGGTAATTTTTGAGGGCCCCTTATTGATTAAGATCTATCCGATCCACCCTCAACCCCCAACCCTGAACCACAAACCCTGAACCCTGCGCCTTAAACCCTAAACCAAACTGGACACTCTAAGCCATGAATCGCAGCTCTGAACCCTCCCGACAGCTCACCTAAGCCTCCAAGGTTAAGGGTTTACGGTTACCCCTCAAAACCCAGACCTCAAAGCCTAAATCCTGAAACCTAGACAGTAGTCTCCATTGCAGTCTCTATTGTTTTTTCCATCTACCATTGTTAACCCAAACCTTGAACCCTAAGCTAAAACCCTTAAGCCCAAAACTCTAAACCCAAAACCCAACACCCCAAAACCCTAAACCCAAAACCCCAAAACCCTAAACCCTAAACCCCAAACCCTAAACCCTAAACCCCAAACCCTCAACCCTAAAGGTTTTGGCGCCCCTGGACCAGAGACTCGCCACTCACGAACAGGTTCGTGAGGCCCTCTTTCTGTCTTGGCATGTTGGGGTTATATAGGGCTATATAGGGTGAAATAGGGGTTTAGGGTTTAGGGTTTAGGGTCATGGCATGTTGGGGTCTGAGGGTTTAGCATTGGGTATATATTGGGGTTATCTAGGAGCAATGGAAAAGAAAATGGAAACATGGAAGCTACTATTTAGGGTTTAGGGTCTAGGGTGTCTAGGGTTTAGAGTTGGGGTTATGTAGGGTTATATAGGGTTATATAGGGTTATATTGGGTGAAATAGGGGTTGTTTAGGGATAATGGAAAAGAAAATGGAAGCTACTATTTAGGGCTGAGGGTTTAGAATTGAGGGTTTGGAGTTAAGGGGTTAGGGTTAAAGTTTGGAGTTTAGGGTTTTGGGGTGTAGGATTAAGGTTTTTGGGTGTTAGGTTTTTGGTTTAAGGTTGCAAGATTTGTTGGTTGGGCTTAGGGTCTGGGGACTTCGGAGTGGGGCTTAGTGTTTTGGATTCAGGACGTGGGTTAAAGGTGTGCTTCATATGAAGTAATGATAGGCATATGATCCTAATGTAGCACACTCGCAATTGCTTCGACTGCTCTTACATGATGGTGAAACGGATCCATGGGTAGAAGTATATTGGGAGTCATTGGGGTTGCGCTGTGTGTAGCATATAGGGGGTTTGGGGGACTCTAGGCCTGCAGCAGGGCGCAGCAAGCTTCGGGTGCTGGCCGTGTGGGGTTGATGGCCCGTGTCATCGTAGGGGCCCGTCACGTTCGCTTGATGCGCCCCATTTCTCACATAGAGAATAAGGGAAACGAGAAGGAAGAGGACACATTATAATAGGGTATATGTTGGAATTTCGAAGGGATATCGTTGCTAGGACATAAGGGATTATCATCTCTATGTAATCCCTATGTAATATAATCACCTTTTTCCCGGCTGGCCCCCAGTAAGCCCTAGACCCTAATCCCCAAACTCTTAACCTTAATCCCTGAACCCTAAACCCTAAACCCTAATCCCTAAACCCTAAATCCTAAACCCTATCCCTAAACCCTGAACCCTAAACCCTTAACCCTACACCCTTCAGGCCGTGCGCCAACGTCAGCGCCTGGCGAAATTCTCGACTTCGGCGCGGATGGATGTTGCCATGCTTCGCAAGGGTGAGGCCTGCAAGGGATAGTTAACCCCCCTTTGGTTTTGGAGATTCTTGGGCTCTTTAGCTCCCCTTGTTTTATTGATATAGATGAAGCAAGGGTGAGGCCTACAAGGGGATGAGGATGTAGGGCTTTAGGGTTTAGGGATTTGGGGGTTTAGGGGATTAGGGCTTGGGGTTTAGGGCTTAGGGTTTAGGGTTGAGGGTTTAGGGTTTGTGAACTTATGGGGGACCAGTACGGAACAAGGGACGGAGGCTTCAGGACTTTTGGACTTTAGTTTTTTTTTCTCCCTTTGTGCGTTTTCTAATTTTGAAAGGTTTTCTTAAGGGTTGTCAGGGTGTTTTCAAGTTTTCAGACATATTTTTTGAGTGATTCTTACGGCTCCGGGTCTAGAGCTTGTAGCTGAAGTGGCGTGTCTCGACCTAGGGGGGGTCGTGGGCGCGCGTAAAAGCTGTTCGATTTGTCATTGGACGCCCGGTGTAGGTGCAAAGCTGCCGCTGTGCCACCACAGTTAAAATCCCAATGAGCGCGGACCCTAAACCCTCTCTGGTGAATGGCATGACTACAGCTTTCGATGTCCTTGCTGTGTGCCTGTATTGGGTTATCTTCTGCTGCTTGTGGTTCAAGCTTTGCACAGGAGACATCATGGGTTTAGGGTTTAGGGTTTAGAGTTCCATGTGAAACCTTGGTTCACGGCCCGGTCACTCCAGGCTTTTATGCGCATTTGTAATGTGTCTGGACCTTCTTGGGCGGCCACACTGTGCCTCACTTTGTTTTGTTGGGTCCCTGAAGCTGAAAACCCAAACCCTAAATCCCAGGCACGCTGAGCTCTACAGGTACTGATATTCACGGGTTGGGGTATACGGTCTAGGGTTAAGGGTTTACAGTTGGCTTCAAATATCAAAGCACGACACACCATTGAATCACTAAACCCCGTATATTCCCAGAAAGGCCTTAACAATTTCCGGATTGCTGGCTTTTCTTGCTTTTGCCTCCGGCTGTCAATGTCTGCCGCGGTCGGGATATCTCCACCGGATGCGATTGAGCTGACTCCGGAGATCGCGAAGCCGCGATCTCGCACTTCAAGAGGGTTTCTAATGCAAAATCTGTACTATTTTGGTTTCAAGGTTTGGGAGCTTAGGGTGTAGGAATTCATGGTGTAGGGTCTAGACATCCGGGGTGTGAGGTCTGGGAAGCCTTCCAGTCCAAGAGCTTCAGTTTCAGCAGTTGCTGGTATCAAATCCTTCGTTGCACTAATCAAGGGTTCCTGGGTTGTACCCCTAAGGTCGTACCCATAACAGGTTTCCCCAATATGGCCCTTTTCTGAGCCAATGTAGTCCCCTAGGGTCCCTTAAAGGGATCCCAAAACCCAGGGTCACAACCCTAGGGGTACAAGTCTGAGAAACTAAGCAGCCAAAGCCCTAAAGCATCAGCATCTATTGCTCAATGTTATTTGGAGGATCTCTGCACTTAGTAAACCTACATAGTAACTTGGGCTATAGGGCTTATAATAGGGGTTATTAGGGACAGTAGGTAGGCTTACTAAGCCAAACGATCATCCGAGTAAGGTCACGGAGGATTCTGCGGTATGTAGCTGGGGCCCTGTGACGCCTTAAAAACATTTCAAGGGCTTTAATTAGCGTCCCGCAGGAAGTCTATCATGCACTGGCTACCTAAAAAGCCTAAAGTCCTAACATGCTTTCGCTAAATCCAAACCCTAAATTGCAGTTTCCCAAAGTAAGGGGACCCCAATATAGACCCAACAATACTATAATCCTTATTACAGGAACCCCTAAAAAGTTACACCCAATTTTGGGAAACCAGCAAATATGAACATGTGTATGGGACGTGCGCAAAAGCCTCCTGAGTCTTCCAAGCTGGCACATGTCAGAAGGGAATGAAGGACTGGGGTTGTAATAGGGCTCACACACCCTAGGCTAACATGGAAGCTCAAAAGAAGCCCTACAGTGATTGCTGTCCAAGATTGTTAGACAGTCTTTAGTCAAAAATCCCTAAAGGGATTTTATGTAGGGGATTATGTAGGGCAATGTTATAGGCCGTATCATATAAGGGGGATACTGTGAGTTTGGACTATAGCTGATATGGGCTTCTGTGTTTCAGATACCTTGAAACGCGGTTGGGGGTTTAGGGCTTAAGGAATCTTACTAGCGCAAGGAAGGGCTTGAGGAATACGCCCGAAACCCTAAACATACACCTTGAACCCTGAGCCCTATTGACTGTATTAGAAGTCTTGCATGGCATTGATATTCCATAGCACAGTAAGTCCGGCACTTCGGGTCATGCAAGATTTTACCTAGCCACCATACATATATCTGTTTCTATGCCAAACCGAACATTCATACATGTGTGTGTATATTTTTATACATGTAGCTTTTAATCCCTAAGCTCTACACATGGCTTGTTGAACATAGTTATTAAGTTTTATGGTCCCTAATCCCTATATAACTTTTATAGAAGCCAGAGCAATTTAGATTTCTATAAGGCCCCTCCCCAAATCAACCCTAGTAAGTCATATGTACCTATTTAGGTTAATGTTGCCCCCCTAAAGATCCCCCCTGAACCCTAAACCCTAATTTCTAAACCCTAAACTCTAAACCCTAAGCCCTAAACCCTAAACCCTAAACCCTAAGCCCTAAACCCTAAACCCTTAAGCCTAAAGCATGTAACAGCCTTGACAGGTCTTCCAGGTGAGGCTGCTTGCAAG